CCCTTAGAACATAGGATGTGAGGGCAGGGAGGGGCCTTAGGACCCAGGATGTCAGAGCTGGGAGGGCCCTTAGGACCCAGGATGTCAGAGCTGGGAGGGCCCTTGGGACACAGGATGTCAGGGCTGGGAGGGCCCTTCGGACACAGGATGTCAGGGCTGGGAGGGCCCTTCGGACACAGGATGTCAGAGCTGGGAGGGGCCTTAGGACCCAGGATGTCAGAGCTGGGAGGGCCCCTGGAACACAGGATGTCAGAGCTGGGAGGGCCCCTGGAACACAGGATGTCAGAGCTGGGAGGGCCCCTGGAACACAGGATGTCAGAGCTGGGAGGGCCCTTAGAACACAAGATGTCAGAGCTGGGAGGGCCCTTGGGACCCAGGATGTCAGAGCTGGGAGGGCCCTTGGGACACAGAATGTCATCCAATACTCTGTCATACAAATGAGAAGCTGAGGACCAGAGAAGTAAAAGGACTTGTCTATAGTTACTCGGTGACTCAGTGGCTGAGCCAGGACCAGTGCCCAGGTCTCCAGTCTCCCACTCCTTCCCCAGTTACACTGCCTCCCCTCTCTAGGACTCTCTTAGTCCTGCAGTGTTGCTGAGCATGATGGGACACTAAGTACGGCCTGGAGTCTCCCCTAGACCTCACCTCACTGGTTGAAAGGGCGCTGTGGGCGTCCAGGCTGAGGATGGCATCAGTGCTGATGGCGCTATAAGGGAAGAACCGGTCACTCTTCTGTAGCGGGAAGAAAATAGGAGTCACTCCCCTGTGAGTAGAGGCAGGGGCCCCTCGGCAAAACCCCTCCCTCTCTGTCCCAGCCCCATTCTGATCACCTTTCTTCCCTCTGCTCTGATTCCTGACTGTTGGAACCCCCTTGGACAATTTCTTTCTTTCTTTTTTTTTTTGGTGAGGCAATCGGGGTTAAGTGACTTGCCCAGGGTCACATGGCTAGTAAGTGTCAAGTGTTTGGTCTGAGGCTGGATTTGAACTCGGGTCCTCCTGACTTCAGGGCCAGTGCTCTATCCACTGCACCATCTAGCTGCCCCCCACCCCGGACCATTTCTGAAAGATACTTTATAGGATCATTGATCAAAAGATCATAGATTTAGAGCTGGAAGGGACATCAGGGGGCATCAGCTCCGATCCCCTTATTTTACAGATTGGGAAACTGAATCCTGGGGAAGTTAAATGATTTGTCCAAGATGAGGTAGGAAGTCAGCATCAGAGGCAGCACTTGAACCCATATCTTCTGACTCTGGACCCAATGTTCTTTCCACAATACAAGATGCCTCATAGAGCTAGGCCAACTCCTCTGTATTACACATAGATGAGAATATTGAGGCCCAGAGAGGTTTGGAGACTTGCCTGAGGTCACACAGCTAATATCAGAGCTGGGCCTGGGACGCAGGTCTCCCTACTCCTAAACCAGTGCTCTTCCCACTAGGCCATGCTGTCCACATCTCCCAAGATGGGCCTCTTTCCCATCTGTCTTCACAGAATTCATACAATCTCTTACTCCCAACACCTTGGACTTCATTAATCCTACCACTCTAGATTTCTTCAGGCCCGAGGGCGTGCTCAGTTTAGGTCCCAGAGAACACTTGATGTGTTTCTCTTAATTTATCAACATTCCATAGACGGGTTAATCTCCTACCAAGCTGGTGGCTGCCCTCCCTGCCTCATGCCTCTCCCCACTTCAGTCCATCCTCCACTCAGCTATCAAAGGGATCTTTCTAAATCAAAGGTCTGACCATGCCAGCCCTCCTACTTGGTAAACTTGAGTGTATACTCATCGTAAATATTACTTCCAGGATCAATACAAAGTCCTTGGTGTGGCTTTTAAAACCCTGTCCAGCCTGGCCCCTTCCTGCCTTTCCAGTCTTCTTACACCTTCCTCCCTTCCATGGACTCCATGACCGAGTGACACTGGGCTTCTGGCGGCTCCTGGCTTCTCCACCACCCAACCCTGGGTCTTTTCACTTCACTATTTCCCATGCCTGAGATGCTCTCCCTCCTTATCTTGGCCTCCTGGGTTCCATGACTTCCTTCAAGTTTCAACTCAAATGCCACCTTCTACAGGAAACTTTTCCTAGTGCCCCTCAATGCTGGTGCCTCCCCTTTGAGGATGCCCCCCATTTATGCTACTTATATGTTGTTCATGCACACTTGTTTTATGTTGTCCCCTCCCCCTTAGACTGTGAGCCCCAATAGGGCAGGGAAAGTGTCAGGGCCTGGTTACATCCAGGCCCACTAATCCCCTGGTGCTTAAGAGATGCTGAATGAATCAATATTCTTTGTAGGCAGCTGGGCAGCTAGGTGGTACAGTGGATAAAGCACTGGGCTGTGGAATTAGGAAGATTCATCTTCATGAGTTCAAATTCAGCCTCAGACACTTACTAGCTGTGTGACTCTGGGCAAGTCACTTACCTCTGTTTGCTTCAGTTTCTTTATCTGTAGAATGAGCTGGAGAAGGAAATGGCAAACCACTCCAGTATTTTACCAAGAAAACCCCAAATGGGGTCACGAAGAGTCATTTCACAACTGAAATGACTGAACAACAATAGTAGGAAACTAGGTGTTATCATGATTAGAGCACTGGGCCTGGAGTCAGGAAGACCTGAATTCAAATCCAGCCTCAGGCACTTACTAGCTGTGTGACTCTGGGCAAGTCACTTAATCTTTGTTTGCCTCAGTTTCCTAGTGTCAAAAGCACCTACCTCAGCAGGTTGTTGTGAGGATCAAATGAGATGATATTTGTAAAGCACGTCCCATAGTTAGTACTTGGCACACAGTAGGTGCTATCTGAATGCATTTTCCCTTCCCTTGGCACTTAATAGGTGTTGAACAAATAAATGAATAATCTGGTTGAGGGCAGGAGCTGGAAGGAGGGTCCCCCTTCTTTGTCTTCCATCCTCCCTTTACCTTCTTCCTCCCTTCAATGACTGTCAGGGGCACTGTAGTCTGGGGCCACTTCCCCTGGGCTGGAGGAGGACTGTCATTGCTCCAGAGGACCAGAATCTATGACAGAAGGGAGGGATGGTGAGAGGGAGAAAAGTACTCAGAGTGGGCAGGGGAAGTTCAGAGCCTCTCAGGGATAGGGAAGGCAGATGGGAAGGAGCTGTTGTTATTGTTATTATTATTCTTGAATGAGGGAACTTGCTGTTTATTGACTCATAACAGCAGCTCTTTGCCCACCGGCCACGTCTACAACTAACTAGAAATGGTCTTGAAATTTGATGACATGACATCTGGAAGCAACTGATACTAATAAACAACTATTCTCATTTCCACCAGTTACCGCATCTCTGTCTTTAACCTTTTTTCCCCCAGTTTCCATTCACAATTAGACTTTTGCATCATCACTTTCTCCCAAAGTTACAGAAACACAGATGTCAGAACTGGGAGAGACCTTGGAATACAGAATGTTAGTGCCAGAAGAAACCCCAGAACGCAAAATATTGGAGTTGAGAGGGCCTAGATCATAAAATACTGGCTCTAAAACAGATCTAGAACATGGAGTGTTGGAGCTGAGAAGGACCTCAATGATAACATTATGGCTCTCGAACAGATCTAGACCATGGAATGCTGGCACTGAGAAGGCCCCAGCTTATAAAACACTATAGCTAGATTGGATCTAGAACATGGAATGTTGGGGTTGAGCAGGGCCCCAATGATAAAATACTGGTGCTAGAACAGATCCAGAACATGGAATGCTGTCATAGAGAAGGCCCTAGCTTATAAAACACTATAGCTAGACTGGATCTAGAACATGGAATGTTGGAGTTGAGAGGGACCTTACAACAAAGAACATCAACTTTCAGGGTTAGTAGGGACCGTCTAATCCAAAGAAATTCCCTGCCTCTTCTCCCTCAATAAGAAGCAGGAGTTATTCTTCTCCCTTTTACAGATGGGAAAAACTGGCCCAGAAGGAAGGGTGGAGGAAAGGAGATGACCTGCTCCACTGAATCACAGTTGACACTGGGAACGTAACTGGGATATCCTGAATGAGAGCATCACAAAGTAGCCACACTGCTTTCACTTATCAAAATCCTATTGGAGGGGCAGCTATGTGGTGCACTAGGTAGAGCACTGGCCCTGGAGTCGGAAGGACCTGAGTTCAAATCCGACCTCAAACACTTACTGGTTGGGTGACCCTGGGCAAGTTTATCCCCAGTAACCTCCAAAAACGAACAAACAAACAAATCCTTCTCGGCCTTCAAGGCCCAAGGCCCTTTGAGGAAGGCGTATCTCTGGATCCTTTCCCACCAGTCACATGGGATCCCTTCTTCTTCTGGATGCCCTGATTATACCTAGCACTCACTAACGCCACTCCTTGAGATAGCTCAGAGCCCCCACTCCACTGCAGCTCTTGAGCCTCTTCTCTGTTTCCCCAGGTGGTAGGTCCCACACTCCTTCAACTTCATTGGCTTTGAAGCAGATATGGCCAATCACATTGATTCTATTCGAAGGGAGTTACCGACTACAATCCTTTCAGGGCTTGCTATCTGCTCTGTCACTACATTCTCCAGATCCCTGTGGGATCAACTGACGCATCCTAAGGGGCCCTCTCTCCTAATCAAAATATAAGCCTCTAGAGGAGAAAGATTGACTTTCTTTTTCTATTTGTTTCTCCAGCAATTAGCATGTAGTAGCTACTTAATAAGTGTTTTTACATTCATTCATCCTAGTGTTTTATAAACACATATTCTTTCTAACAGGTTGTGAGCTCTAGGAAATCAGGGACAGTACCTGATACATCCTTGTCCCTGTACATAGTATGTAGGTGCTGAATCCTGAATCCATATTCCTCTCGGGCCCCTGTACCTAGTATGAGCTCTGTAGCGGCTGTTGAAATATCGTTTTGGTGGGCATCTCTGCAGTGACCTTCTCTCCATCAGGTTTCCTACTCTAGTCATTCCAATCCCATCTGCCCTCTCACTCTCAAGTCTCCTGGGTGGGAAACTCCTTCCGAGGAAGAAGGAATTCCTGCTCAGGTACAGGTGAAGACAAGAGGCCCTCCAAGTCCATTCCAACTCCGACATTCTGTAAACTATGACATGTGTATCACTCAAAGGCAAGGGCTAGATGGAGCTTTACAGTCTCACCTTGCTCCCCCACCCAGAAGGAGTGAGGACCCCCTTGGGGATTATCTCTCAGCTCTCACTGGGGTTCTCTAATCTGAGGGGACCCCACCCTCCGCTGCCTCCTTCCAACCTCCCTCTCCCCTCCATGGACCCAGCTGGGGAAGAGGCAGACCTGGGCACAATGCTGGGAGCCAGCCACCTCCTGGATCAGCTTCACTGGGGGCTGGTCCAGGGACCCCACCCAGATCAGGGCACTGAATCTGCCAGAGGGACGGGAGCCTGTGGAGTGGAATGGAGATGGAGACACACCATTAGGGAACTCTGGTGCAGGGGAGGTGAGGGCGGTGCTGGTGGGGAGTGGATGGGGTCCCAGAGGGGTGGAGGCATCTCCATGGCGATTGGCTGAGGAGCCGATCTCTCTGATCAGCTGTGAAAGTCTCAGAGGGACTCTAGGAGGCAGCTCCCAAAAGGGAATGTGGGGAAGTTTACTGCCGGAGAGATTATCCAGTGGATTCGTTTCTGGGGGGTCCTCAGTACCAACATGGAGAGGGAGAAGGGAATAGCGGGTTTGGAGCTAGGAAAAAGTCAAATCCAACCCTATAATACATCACCAAAAAAAAAAAAAAAAAGCACTGGACCTAACGTAAGGAGAGACCTAGGTCTGAATCCTGCTTCAGAAATTTACTGGCTGTGTGACCCTGAACTAATTCCTTCCCTTCTCTGATCCTCAGCTTCTTTATTGGTAAAATGAGGATAATCCCTGCTGCAACTACTTATGGGGTTGTGTGTGTGTGTGTGTGTGTGTGTGTGTGTGTGTGTGTGTGTGTAAGTGACTCCTGGGGATTTGATGCCAGGTGGCTGCCTCTACAGGAAGGGTCTCTCTGGGACCCTGGCTCTCTCCATGGAGATCATCATAAAAATAATGATAATACAGGGTCTGTCTCCATGAGGCAGCATTTTTGCAATCTTGGAGTCCTACAGAATAATAATAAATAGCCCACATTTACATAGCACTCCAGGGTTTTTGCGAAGCAACTTACATATATCATGTTATTTGAGCCTCTTAACAACCCTGTGAGGTGAAAGCCGTTTGTTATCCTTATTTAACAGAGGAGGAAACTGAGAGTCAAGGAAGGAAGTGATTTGTTTAGGGTCACAGGGCTAGTGTCTGAGGCAGGACTCAAACGAAGGTCTTCCTGACTCCAAGTATATTCATCTTAATAGACATTATCATCATCATCATCATCATCATCATTATTATTATTATTTCTGTCTCTATAAGGGTGGTCCCTGAGGATGGGGGAGGTAATAGACTCATAGATTTAGAACTGAAAGGGACTTCAGCGGCCATCTATTACAACTCCCCACATTTTACGGATGAGGAAACGGAGGCCCAGAAAGGTGACTTGCCCAAGGTCCCATCTGGAGTAACTGGCAGAGCTGGGATTTTAACCCCCTTTCACACCATGGTTCTGGTGTTTGTGAAGGCCTTTGTGTCAGGGGAACCTGGCCATGATCTTTGTGGAGGAGGCCTCTGTGGAAGGAGAGGATCTCTGTGGAGTCTGCTTGGGGCAGGGAGGGTTGACAGGGGTCTAGTGCCCAGGGGCAACATACCATGTCGTAGATAGTAGAAGGGGAAGTCTCCCAAATGTGTGGAGAAGGTGGGCAGGGCCAGGAGCCCCCCAGGAGGGGCATTCCACAACAGCCGGGGCCGGGAGGCTGCTCGGAAGATCCGGTCTCTGACGATCTGCAGGGGGGGTCATGAGGGCTCTCATTTCTTTAGAAACATTAAGCTTACAAAGTGCCCCTCTCTAGACCGCCCTGTGAGAGGCAGGCAGTGTGAGGGACAGATCCTCCCTTCAAACATGAGGTATGCAAGCTTCAGAAAGGGTAAGTAATTTCCCCAAGGTTATACAGCTAGCATTTGTCAGAGTCTAACTGAGAAAGGGTTTTCATTTCTGACTCTGCTGCTGACTACCCAGGGGGTTTTCAGTTCCATTTTTGTTTTTAACTAGATCTGTGATTTTATCAGTAAAGGAACCGGCCAGGGAGGTAACTCGGGGCACCAATGCAGATGAACCCAATGCAGGCTGGATAGCCTCAGGGCACCAGGAAGCTATGAGACTTGTCCAGGGTCACCCTGGCATGTGATATCAGATAGAGATATCAAAGGAAAAAAACTGACCTAAGAGAACAGGGCTTTCATATGGTAGATGTCATTTAGATGACAACTTCTTACAATAAGCTAAAGACGAACATTTTCAAAGACTCCCATTGGTACCCCATAGCACCCTCTGCAGCCTAAGAAGGGCATCAGACCTATGCTCCCCCCAACCACTGTCAGGCTAAAAGAGGCAGGGCTACAGGACAGGAACCTCCCCACCCTCTAACCTGTCCTGCCCCTGTTCAGGGGCCTGGCCTCACCTCCAGCGTAGTGTAGACAATCTTCTCCACTGAAGAAAAGTAGGCATCCCACAAGAACTGGGTCTGCTGGCGGAGGGCGAGAACCCGGGCAGGGGGAAGCCCTTGGAGGACTGACTTGATCTGAGGGGGAATACAGAGAAACTCAAGGAAGGACAGGCTGAGAAGTAGGCTGGGATCTAGGCTTAGCTCCATCACTGACACATCGTCACAGATCACTGCTCTCTGGCCCAAAGAACTCAGCAGGGGAGAGACTGAGGGGCAATGACACATCTGGGGACTAGCTCTCCATTGCCTCAACATTCTACAGCTAACTCAACACCGAGGCTGGCTTCTCTTCCCCTCCCAACTTTCTCTGACCCACTCCCAGACCCTTCCTAACCCCCTGTGCACTGCGTCAGCTCCAAGACCTTAGGAAAACCATGTGCATTTTAATATTTACTCCCTTTTTTGGCTCTAAGTTTCCTTATGAATGAAATTTACTAATGATTTCCAAGGCCCTTTCCAGATCTAAAAATCTATAATATTATAAACAATAACAATAATTCCCTTTTCTATATAGGCTTAAGGTATGTAAAGCATTTTCCTTATAATTGCCACTTGAGAGAAGGAGCACAAGTATTATTATTCCCATTTTACAAATGAGGAAACTGAGGGCCAGAGAGGCTAACTGATTTCTCCAGGGTCACATAGCTAGTGAATGTCAGAGTTAGAATTAGAACCCAAGGTTTCTGATTCCAAGTCTGTACTCTTCAGTTCTAGTGTTCTATGTTCTAAGGACCCTTCCAGCTCTGACATTCATTCTTCTAAGTTCTTTTTTCAAATTTAACATTCCCTGTTCTAAGTTCCCTCCCAGTTCTAACATTTTCTGTTCTGAGGGCCCTCCCAGATCTGTTATTCTGTGTTCTAAGATCCCTCCCAGCTCTGACATCTTGTGTTCTAAGGGCCCTCCCAGCTCTGACATTCTGTGTTCTAAGGGCCCTCCCAGCTCTGACATTCTGTGTTCTAAGGTTCTTCTCAGATCTGACATTCTGTGTTCTAAGGCCCCTCCCAGCTCTGACATTCTGTGGTCTGTGATCATCTAGGACTAGACAGAATTATTAAGAATGATCTGCCCAAATGGTCACATTTCTGATTCCAGCTTTAAAATACTGATCATCTCTGATTTCCTCTTATCCACGCCAAAGTGTTCCTCCATTGGCACAGATCACCAAGAAGTAACTGAACCACATTGGGTTAGACCTGGAAGCTTGGCTCTCATCTCTTCCACTTGCCTCATTTTAGAGATGAGGAAAGTGCAGCTGAGGGAAGGGAAATGACCTGTCCACGGCCAAACACAATCACCAGACCTAAGCGGAGGCCCAGTCTAACCTGGAGGATCCCTCCCACAACGTCCCTTAGAAATGGCCCTTGAGCTTTTGCTCAGAGATTTTTTGGGGGGGGGGGAAGAGCAGCTACCGCTCTGTAAAGGCATCCTGCCCACTGTGGGGCAGCTCTGCATTTGAGAAAGCCTAAGCTTGCCTCTTCGAAGCTTCTGCCCTTTGCTCCGAGTTCTGATCTCTGGGGCTGAGCAGACCCTGGCTAATCCCTTTTCCATGTTAAAACCCTTTAAATGCTTGAAGACCTCTCTCATGTCCCCCTAAGTCTTCTCTCAGCTGAGCATTCCCTGGTCCTTCTACCCATTCTCAGCTGGCCTGATCCTGAGGCCCTTCGCCATCCTGGATGCCCTCCTCTGGACCTCCAGCCTACCACTGTCCTTCCTGAAATGTATTGCTTAGAACTAAACAGAGCACAGCAGATGAGGCCTGACCAAGGCAATGGGCTGTCAGACCAGCATTGCCCTAGTTCAGGACTTTACATCTCTCAGTGAAGTCTTGGGGAGCAGTGGTGGTACAGTGGAGAGAGTGCCAGGTCTAGAGTCAAGAAGACCTGAGTTCAAATCCGGCCTCAGACATTTACTATCTATGTGACCCTGGGCAGTCACTTCACTGTGTTTGCCTCAGTTTCCTCAACTGTAAAATGAGCCGGAGAAGGAAATGGCAAACCACTCCAGTGTCTTTGCCAAGAAAACCCCAAAATGAGGTCACAAAGAATCAGACATGACTGAATAACAACAATAAAATCTGACCTCACATTAGCTTTATTAGCCGCTACATACCTCAGCTGATTTATATTAACCTTACTGCCCACTCAGGCCCCTAGATCTTTTTCAAACTGCTATCTAATTATACCTCTCCCATCCAATATTTATGAATTTAATTTTGTAAACCCTCCTATGGGACTTCATGTTTGTCCTAGCTAGGTGGTACAATGACTAGAACTGGAATCAGGAAGTCCTGAGTTCAAATCCAACTTCAGTTACTGGGCAAGTCAGTTAGACTCTCTCAGTCTCAGTTTCTCCATCTGTAAAGTGAGGATAGTAATAGCACCTACCTCCCAGGGTTGTTATGAGGATAAAATGAGATAATATTTGTAAAGCTCTTTGGAAATCTTAAAGTACTATATAAATGCTAGCTATTATCCTAATAAAATTGAATCATATCTGACCCCATACTTTAGCCTGTCAGGATTTCTTTACATCCTGCCTCTGTCATCTAGTGCATTAGCCTTCCCTCTAATTTTGAATTAGAGGCAGAGCCAGGACCAGAACCCAGTGTCCTGATTCCAGGCCAGGGCTCCTTTTGGCTTCATCCATATCCTCAAGATCCGAGATGTCAAACACAGGCAATACTCCTAAGCAACCTGGACCAGATTAAAATGTAACTGAGAAATATTGAATAAATAGTTAATAAAAATAATTAATGAAATAATATTTAATGAAACAAATACTTAATAAAATGTTTGACAAAACAAATATTTAATAAAATGTTTAGTGACATAAATATTTAATAAAAATACAATAGAACGTAGGTAATGTTAATGTGTGGTTTTCTAAGTCAACCTGCAGCAGGCAGGGGTCCTTATGTATGTTTTAGTTGCCCCCATTTCTTTGAGTTTGACACCACTGGGCTAACTGACTGTCTCTGTCCTTCTGTGTCCAAGTGTTCAATCTCAGGAGTGCTCTGGGGAAAGAAGGGAGAGAAATATCTGATGCCCTTGGAAGATAGTTATGAGGGGGATGGGTCATCAGACTCTGAATCAGGTTGCTTGGGTCTCCCATGTGTCTCTGGGGAAGCCAACCTATCCCAGACCCAGTCTCCCCTTTACCTGATACAGGTGCCTCTCATCAATGATGATGGCTGCGGTGCCCCAGTCAATGACCTCAGAGAAGGGGAGCTCCCAGCCCCTGCTCAATACCACAGGGATGCATCCTGCCTGGAAAGGAAAGCAGGAAAGGGGGATGTTATCAGGGGAAGCCCCACGCTCTTGGACCAGACTCTCCTTATATCAATGTGGATGGGGTCAGAGAGGAGAGAGAGGGAGGACAGCTCATGAAGAGAGTGCAGCCAGCGCATCGTTGATCATAGGACAAGAATAAGAGGGAAGGGGCTTTAAAATATGTGCCAAGATTCCTCCAGAGTGTCCTGTAGCTCTAATGAAGGGTTTTATAATGCCCCAAGACATGAGGGAGGGTGGTTGGTGCCTACAGGAGCCCAGTCCTTTCTAGGATTCAGGATTTTTCAGGTCCAGCCTCAGTCTACAGCCAGATACTCAAAGCATAGGTTAGAAGGCTCCTCAGAAGGCATTAGGGCATGCCCTTCTAGAAGCAAGATTACCATACACAGTATAATCAAGGGGGAAGAACATAGTCTGACATCAGGAAGCTTGGATTCTGGTTCTACTCGGCTACTAACTAGCTATATGACATTAGGTAAGTCACCAAACTTCTCTGGGGTCTCAGTTTCCTCATCAGTAAAATGCCTGGATTGGTCTGTATCATTTCTAAGACCCCTCATGGCTTTAAATCCTAGGATCACCAACAAGGATCACCAATGACCTTGAAGTGCTTGGATATCTCCAATGAAAGGGAACTCACTACCCCTCCAACAGCAACCCTAGTTGTCAGCAATTTTTTTCTATTGATTGAAGTGAGAGCTGCTGGTCAAAATCTTCCACTCCCACCAACCCCTCTCTGGCTCCTAGTTCTGCAGTCTGGGGCAGCAGGATAATTCTCATCCCTCTTCCCCTTCAGCTGCTTGAAGGCAGCTAAGCCTTCTCTTTGGCTAACCTTTCCAAGCTCCCTCATCCAATCCTCACGAGGCAGGTTTGCCAACCCTCTCGTCTGAAGGACCTTCTGTTTAGCCATATCCTTCCTAAAATCTGGCCCCCAGAACCCAGTGCTCCAGATGCGGTCTGGCCGGAGCAGAGGCTCCCTCAGACCGGACACTGCTTTTATGAGCCCAGCCCAGGGAGACATCAGATCCCACTGTTGATTCTTGTTGAGCACGTAATCCGTTAAGACCTCCAATTCTGGAATAGGCTGGGGGTGGGGGTCAGGGTGCAAGAGACTAAGCTGGGGAAAGGGAACTTTGTGGTACCTTCAGGGCCTGGAGGAGGTGGAAGGAGCCCAGGCGGCAATTCGGGGGAATAAAACAGAAGGTAGAGTTGTACAGACGTTTCTGATCCTCAGACCTAAGGGACAGATACTGAGTGTTTCTAAGGTGGCCTTTCTCCTCCCCTTCTCCTCAGCCCTTCCCCCACCCCCCCCAAAAAAAAAAAAAAAAAAAAAAAACACAGGCCCCAGGAGAGCCACACACACACAGAGGACCTTCTGTCTCCCCTGAAGCAATGGGGAACACTCATGAAAGAGCTTGTGAGCTTGACATCTGAACTCTACTCCCCACCCTCAACGACCACCACACAGGGAAACTCTCACCCCAGCCACATAGGCTCAAAGACATGAGCGTAGAGTGTGCACGCAGACACACAGACACACTCAGGCATACACTGCCACAAACATGCAGACATATCACAATGCACAAACACAAACACAACCGCACACTGACTTACACACAACCACATTTCCCATATACACACACATATAACTATATTATATATAATGTATATATATTTATACATACACACAGCCCCTTCACCTGAGTAATCAGTCCTAATCCCCAAGTCCAGCCCATGTCTCTCCCACTCCTCAATGGCCCAAACCTATGAAAGGCCTTTCTGTATGGAGGCTGAGGATACATTCCCACCCACGCCCCCAACCCTTGCCTATCCCTAACTTCCCCCAACCCCACCAGCTCAGCAACCACACAGGAAACCTGTGTTGCCTACACAGGCCCACTCTGTTGCCTGGGCTACACATGCCACAAGGGTGTGTGTATATGGGGGCACATGTGTCTGCCAGGGGGCAGGCAACCCCACCCCATGCCTGCCCTTCCCTGAGCTCAGCATCTCCAACCTAGAAGGTCTGAGATGAGCATTTGGGAGTTATAAAGAAATCCAGGGAAGTCCCAGAAACTCCAGACCCCCTTAGCCATGGGGGACTGCCAAGTTCAATAAGACTAATGGAAGGGGTGGGGTGAGTCACGCGGGCTGCCATTGGTTCAGCTGTCCCCAAAGGCCGGAGGGTAGATGGTCTAGGTTTTGACAACTAGATTCATCTGAGTGAGTCCTAGGGTCAAGCTCTCTCCAATCTCACCGTGCACACAGCTGAGTCTGGAAATCAACCAGGAGTGCCAGGCTTCTACCCTCACCACACACACAACTCCCTTAATTTTCCAATGACTATAGAAAGCAATCATTTCTGTAGTGCTTTAAGGCTCAGAGAGTCATATTTTCTCAATGCACTATGAAGTAGGTATTTCAAGGACTATTATCCCCATTTCATAAATGAAGAAACCAAGGCTAAAAAAGAAGTGGGGACTAGTCCAAAGTTACACAGCTGCAAATGTCAGATCATAGAATTTGGAGTTGGAAGGAACTTTAGAGATCATCTTATTCTAATCCTTTCATTTTATAAAGGAGGAAACTCAGGCCCAGAGGTCAACTTGCCCAAGGCTACCTAGCTAGCAAATAGCTGAGTCAGGATTTGAACTCAGATCCTCTCACTCTAAAGTCAGTGTTCTTACCCTATAGCAGGAAGAGAAAGGTAAGGTATAGAACCCCCACATCAAAGAGAACAGGGTGTGTGAGAGGCAGAAGAAGTGGGTCATTAAGTCTCTGGTCCCATGGCTACCAACAGTTCCAGCTCAACCACCAGTGAGCAGGGGTGGGGGTGGGGGGCCTCAGGGAAGCGTCTGGTCTGCCAGCCCCACCCTCTTGAGAAAAACCTGTTTTGGCAGCCTTGATTCTGCCCCTTTGGAGGCTGGGAAACAGGTCCAGGGGCTTGCTCCCAGCTCCTCCCAAGAGCTCTCTAACCCACCAAGCCTAGTGCTGAGTGGAAAGTGAGGCTGGGCTGAGATGCCGGGAAGAGGAAGGAGGAGAGGGTGTGAAGTGGCTTTGTCTGCCTAACTTATTTACCCAGGCAGTACCTGGACCCCGGAACAGTCCAGCACGGTTCGAACGGCCTTCCTGTGTTGCCTGCTGATCTCTGACCTGTGGCCTCTGACTTGAGGGAAACTGAGGCACAGACCACCCATGTCGTCACAGACCCAGTCCGACAGCAAGGCCGGTTCAAAGCAAAATTAAATGAGGAAGTTTCTTTTAAATCTTGGAGGAAATAAAAGGGTCCTGACCTGTGACTTCCTAGTAGAGTTTGAGAGAATTGCCTGGGGCATTGTCTTCCTGATTCTAAGGCTGGCATTCTATCTACTCTACTGCGCTGTCACTCCTGAGATCAATCTATAATCCTCCCAGCTCTGACATCCTCTATTCTAAGGGACCTCCCAGCTCTGACATCCTGTATCCTAAGGCCTACGACTTTACACAGAAGGGAACAAGCTGATGTAAGTTCTGATTAGATCCCACTGACACTCCAATAACAGTTCGGCTATATTTGTGGACAGAACTGTAACAGATTAGTAAACAGAACTGAAGCTGTTTGGGGGTGTCCTAACCAGTAGGCACGACAAGCACATTCTGTACCAGAACCCTCCCCCATCAGAGACAGAGTCATGGACTGGGCAGGTACATACCTCAGGACAATAACCCTGACTGGTCTTTGAATGAGTTGGGCAGACTTCCTGGAGGAGGTGGGATTTCAGGAACCATGAGCTCCCATCTTCTCTATCTATAGGGTATCAGGGCCCTTTAACTGAACCTGATCCTAAATAGCCACAGAGCCCTGTGGGCACTTGGCCCCATGATGAATTCCTGGGAGAGAGATGGGGAGCCCAGAATAGCTAAGCTCCATTACTTTAACAGAGGGAGGGGTAATGAGGACAGGGGAGGGAGGGAAGAGGGAGGGACTGGAGGTTTGCCAGGTTCAAGTTTGGCCTAGTCCTAGGGGAAAGCCACCATCCCCAGAGTCCTCGAGTGACCCCAGTGAGACATGGATTTAACCCTTCCCTTACCAGATAGCCTTCAGTAAGCTCCAAGAACAGACCGTTCACCCACCCTCCCGCCCCAGGGGTGGGTGATCATCTCTGCCCTCCCAAGTAATGTGCAGGCTTCTCTTTTCTGCAAAAATTTCAGCCTTCTGTGACCCCCTCTCAAGTTTCTATTATAATGCCTCTCAAGGAAGGAGTTCTTCCAAGATGGTCTTAACTATTTTTTGTGTTTTATAGACCCCTTCAGCAGTCTGGTGAAGCTTATGGACCCCTTCTTAGAATGATGTTTTTAATGTTTAAAATAAAGTGCAAGGGGCAGCTAGGTGGTACAGTGAATAGAACACTGGCCCTGGAGTCAGAAGGGCCTGAGTTCAAATCCAACCTCAGATACTTACTAGCTGTGTGACCCTAAGCCAATAAATAAATAAATAAAATGCATAGGATTACAGTGCAAGTCAATTATTTTGAAATAGTTATCAAAAAACATTTTTGAAGTTCACACATCCTAAGTTAAGAATCCTTGAATTCTAATATGACATTTTCATTTTACAGGAGGCAAGAGTTCCAAGGAAGTTAAATGGTTTGCCCATGGTTGCAGAGCTAGTATCAAAAACAGAATCTGGGGGCAGCTAGGTGTTGAAGTGGATAGAGCACTAGCCCTACAATCAGGAGGACCTGAGTTCAAATCCAACCTCAGACACTTGACACTAGCTGTGTGATCCTGGGCAAGTCACTTAACCCCAATTGCCTTGTCTACAACAAGAAAAAAAACCTTAAAAAAAAAAAGTAGAATCTGAACCCAGGTCTTCCTGCCTTTAAATAGAACATTTTATCTACTACATGAGGCCCCATTTCACTCCTTTCTTGGCTTCTCTAATATGAAACCATTTCATTTTCCTCCTACTTCTCTGACTATCCCTTCTTGGCCTCCCTCACTATCTTCCACCTCCTCCAGTACTAACATCATAAATGTGGTTGTTTCCTAGGGATCTGTCCTTGGCCTCTCTGGCTTTCAAACTGATACAACCTCAGAGCTGGATGGCACCCCAGGAGTCAGCTGGCTCAACCTATACACCCCAGCAAGAGTCCCTGTTTACAACACACCCAACAAAATGCTCGTCAGCCTCTCCTTGGAGCCCTCCAGTGACGGGGACACTAACTGCCTTCTGGGAGCTGCCCATTCCTCTCTGGGATAGTTCTAATTGTTAGAAGTTTTCTTCTACACATTAAGATAAAATCTGCCTTTCTATAATTTCCATCCACTGCTTCTAGTTCTGCCACAGAACAAATCCAGTCCCTCATCTAACATATGAGATACTTTTTCCAGCAGAGTTTTTGTTATTTAAATTGAGCTCCACCTCAATTAAGGATGACTTCCAGCCCTGACCTCTCTCATTCAGCTATAAAAATACAAGTTATTACCATTACTATCGCTCCAGACCCACATGTTCAGCTGCCTACTGGACAGCTCCTCCTGCATGTCCCTTGGGCACATTAAATTCAACATGTTCTAAACTGGACTAAATTCTCTTTCCTTCCCCAAATAACTTCCTCCTCCTAGCTTCACTACCCTTGCAATGGTCCCACCACCCTCCCAGGCTCCAACCCTGTCATCTTTAACTGCTTCTCCTACCTCTTCAGCCCTTACCTAAATATAGCCATGATGTCCTGAGTCTTCTCTTCTCCAAACTAAACATCCCAGTTCCTTAAGTTGATCCTCAAATGACCTGGACTCATGGCCTTTGACCATTAAGGTTTCCCTCCTTTGGACATTCTCTAGATTATCAACATCCTCCTTAAACTGTGTCCAGAATGAACACAGTACTCCAGATGTTATCCAATGAGTTCAGAGGACAGAGGGACCATCGCCTTTCTACTCCTGGAAACCTTCTGTGACCCCCTCTCAGGTCTCTATTACAATGCCTCTCAAGGAAGGAGTTCTTCCAAGAGGGTCTTAACTATTTTTGTGTTTTATAGACCCCTTCAGCAGTCTGGTGAAGCTTATGGACCCCTTCTTAGAATGATGCTTTTAATGTTTAAAATAAAGTGCAAGATCCCATTGGTTTTTTTCTGACAGCCCATCACACTGATGAGGACAGAGCTTGCACTCCTCTAAAGTCCTCAGATCTATTTCATTTTTCATTTATTTTTCATGTTTTACACTTTTCTGCATCCCCCAGAGGCTGGCAAAGAGCCCGGCACATAACATGTACTTGGTCACACCAACAGCTCACATTTTTATAGCCATCTGCAGTTTATAAAACATTTTTCTCACAATCCTGTAGGGTAATACAAGTATTATTATCATCCCCATTTACAGATGAGGCAATTGAGGCAAAGTGACTTGCCCAGGGTCATACAACTAGGAAGTGTCAGAGCGGGAATTCAAGTCCAGATGTCCTGATTCCAAATACTTTGCTCTTCCCATGACATCAGTCAACACTTGTTGACCAGTTGTTGGATTCTGATCGGTTGCCAAGGGACTCTGAGGTTCATAGAATCAAAGAACCATAGGAGTTGGGAGTGGCCATCCAGTCTAACCTATACCTGAAAAAAGAGTACTGTCTATAATAAGTGATCATTCAGTCACTGCTTGGAGACTTCCAATGGGAAGGAAAGGTTACTTACTAATTTCCAAGGCAACTCATTCCTTCAAGCTAAGGGTATCTTCCAGTTGGCATATGAACACCAAATGAAACTAAAGGATCCCTTTTGGAAAGCTATTCAGGTCCTCTGACAGCTGGGACAGAAATGAGCTGGGTTGGGAGGACCCTTCTCCCCCCTCATTCTTATCTACACCAAGGGTTAAGGTTGGACTAAGGATCAGTTCTAATGGAGAATTTGGTACAGTGGAAAGAACACTAGTCTTGGGATGAAAAAATTCCAGAGGCCTGGGTTCAAGTTCTCACTCTGCCATTTACCATCCGGGCCTCAGTTTCCTCAGATGTAAAATGAGAGAGGAACTTAACTAGATTAAGATTCTTTCCAGTTGAAAGGACGAATCCTTCCTTCCTTAACATGCTTGGGGATGCCTTCATCTCTAAGCATGTTACCTTCCCTTTTCACACTTCAGTGTCCTCTGGCAGAGGAAGGGAAGATGATCCTTGTGGTTGTTTCATAAACCCTTGCCTTGTGTTCATTCTTATACCTCTTGGGGGAGGAGGTGGTCTGCCTGGAGTCCCTCATTCCTCAGCAGGGGTAAGTGAGGGCAAGATCAGACTATTACAGCCTTTGATGCCTAGAAGAGCTCAAGACTCCAAGCATTTTAATTTGATTTTCCAGAGGCCACCCCACATATTCCCTTGCCTCTTTATATATGTGAATCATGGGGAATTGAGTTATTGGGGGCAGGGAAGGGAGAATAGTAGTCTAAGGTTGGAACAAAGTAATCATTTCTCTTGTTTTTAAAGTCCAGGGATAAAAACTGTAAGCTTTCTAAGTTCTCTATGAGAGAACTATTCATCTTTGTATTTCCCCTAGTTCTCAGCCCAGTAGTCTGTAAACAGTGGTGGCTTATTAAATATTTGTTGAATTGAATCGAATTGACAGAGAGGCTACAATCTGTCCTCTTGGCCATACCTTTTGAGGCCTCACTGCCTGGACCAAAATTTTCTCTAAACTCGACAAATCATAGGATCATAGAACTGAGACTGAGAAAAAGACTTTGGAGATCCCCTAATTCAATTATTTTACAGTTGGGGAAAGTGAAGCCCAGAAAGGGAAAATGATTGGCCAAAGGTCATACAGCCAAAAGGTTACCAGTTTAGGATTCCAATCCTGGTTTCCTTACAAGTCCAGGGTTTGTTTTTTGTTTTTTTCCACTACTCCCTGATATCCTTCAGCACTCTTTCCATTAGCTTCTCTCCTAAGATCCTGTTCTCCTAGTCCCATCTTCCTGCCTCCCTCCAATCTCCCTTTCCCCTCTGTGGCTCCTCACAGTATTCAAGAAGTATATGGGAGGGGTAAGGGGAAGCAGGACTTACTGCTCAGTGGTCTGGTCCTGCTTACATGGCCCGTCCCTGTGTCCTTTGCTGGTTTCACCATGGCGATCACTTGGGATCAAGATAGCATTCTGGTCCCGCTGGTTGTAAGAGCCAGTGACCCACATGTCTAACTGGCCCTCAAAGGCCAACAGGTCTTCTCCAGGAGTGGGAATAAGATGGGTCAGTTGGCTCTGACTCCCTCCCCTCTGTGGGTAGCTCTGGGGGAAGAGGGGGAGGGAGACATCAAAGCCAAGCCTGAAGGTCTCTGGTGTGGGGCTAGCTCTGGCCACCATGGCCTGCCCAGGGTCAAAGCCCAGATCAGGCCAAGAGCCTGGGTGGAGATGGAAAATGAGATGATTCTGCCCTCCATTCCACAGCGGGAGCAGCTGGGGGCCCAGCGCATCCCCTGGGAGGACAAAGAGGCAAGCTTCCTCAGGGTTGGCCGTGTGGTATCGGGAGCCCTCAATGGAAGCCAGGACTTTATGGTGAACTTTGGAGATGGGCTGGGTCAGCCCAGTGGGGTACACAAACACCTTGAAGCCTTGGCTCTGGCACCTGGAGGTGTCAAAGCATGTCTCCATAAGGCAGCCAAGCCTCTGATTCCGCCACTGGTGGGTGCTACAGGAGGGTGGGCAGGGGTCTTTGCTCAGCTCCTCAGGCCCCACAAAACTCAGTAGAAGCTCCTGATCCAGCCATCGGGGCCAGCTGGTCAGCGTCTTGGGTCTCAGACTTGGGGGGATGGCAAGCTGTCGAAGCCGAGGAGCCGCTAAGAGGATGAGGAGGAGCCAGGAGGCTGACAGTATCAGCCAAAGATATTTCCTTCTCCTGGACTGCATATGTCCATTAGGTTACCTGGGATCAGGTGGGAAGGTATGCAAAAGGGAGAGACGCTGTGCAATAACAAGGTTTCACACGGAGGTGGAATGGCAAGAAGAGCAATGTCCATTCAGCTCCCCTTCTCTACCTAAAGGGGCCTGCTCCAATCCAGTCCTCCATCCTTATCTCCCTACTCCCTATGGCACAGAACTCTACTGCCTTGGTCTCGGGGACTGAGCCAAATGCCTTTTGTCTCCTCTATCTCCCAGGTCTCAGGGCACCTGCCCAATCTGATGCAACTCAACTTTTAGCAGGAACCAGGCCGGTTGGGGGAGACCAGGACGGACAGAGAGCAGGGCCAACGAGTTAAGTCTATAGGTCATGCCAGTGAGTACACCCAGGGCAATGGGCACAGCTCTCCACTCAAAGACTCCAAATAATTAAGGGACCTCAGCGATCTAATCCAGCCCCCTTATTGTGAAGAAGAGGGAAAAGGGCTTACAAAAATTCAGTGACTTGCCCAAGGTCAAGCAGTAAATTACTGGCTGAGCTAGGACTTCAACCCTTTGATTTCCCCTTAGCTTTCTTTCACTTAGGGAGGAGGTTTCCTTCCGGGCGGTGGGGAACTGGGAGTCTCCAGCACAGGGTACAGAACCCCCTGCTAGGGCAGGCTCTACCCAGGACTCTCAGATCCAGGGCTCTTAGTGGGGTGAAGAGCAGAGGTTGTCCCATGGGGGTAGTATCAAATTTTCTTCTTCCATTCCAGGCAGCCCCTATCACCTTTGTGACCACTGGTCCTAACCCAGCCGGGGCAATGCTCACGCTTTCCTGTGATTCCAGGCATGCCCACCTTAGGGGTGGCTGTCCGGGCAACCTCCCAGCCACATAGATACTATCAGGACTGCTCCCGGGGAGGGGGTGTCAGTGACCCCCTCTGCCCTTATGCCGGCACCCCTGCCCTCTAACCCGGACCCGGTCCCCTCTTTTCCTCCCTGTCTTCAGGGAGCACCCCCTCTCTCGCGGGCGTGCTGCCTCCCGCCGCCTGAGTTCGCCTCCGCCGCTTCGGTTCTCTCCCGGCAGGTTCGGTCGCCACCTCCGCTGCCCTGCCGCAGGCTGCCGGAGTCTCTGGCTCCGTGTTCCTAGACTCTCGCTCTAGAACCCCACTGGAGCCGCTGCTGCTGCCTGCCCGCGTCCAGCCCGCCTGCCAGGTCCCCGGCTCCAGCTGCCGCTCCGACGTCCCCCGGTAGTCTCGCCTGGCTCCTAGCCCCTCTGACCGCCGAGCAGCTGTGCTTCCGTCTGAAACGCACCCCCTCTCTGAGCGCCCACCCAGCTCCTCCTGCGCTGCCCTGATTGGCTCTACATCCAGAGAGGCGGAGCCTTCGAGTAACCCCTTCCCAACCAGCCCTCTGACCCCCCAGGGAGAGCGCTGTCCACACCCGGCTGTACTCAGACAGATTTGAGCTGGCTTTCATATTCGCCCCAGATCTTTCCGATCCCTGCCTCCTTCCTCGTAGGATCAAAGAGCTGAGAGTTGGAAGGGACTTCAGAGATGACATAAGATATTCATTTTGCGAAAGAGGAAACTGAGGTTCATCGAGGTTAACAGGCTTGGCCAAGGCCACACAAGTCGTCTTCCTCAGCACTTCAAGGATTGTAATGCACTCCATCACCTCTGCCCCTTGGAATCCCGATACACACACATACACCTATGGACAGATACTCTTGTCCAAAACGGAACTCATTACTTTTCCCCTAAACCCTCCTCCCACCCACCTTCTCTATTACAATAGAGCGCAATACCATCCTTCCAGTCCCTCAGGCTCAAAACCTAGGTGTCATCACTCTCTTTTCCCTACCCCCACCCCCATATCCAGTCGATTGCCCTGGCCTGTCGATTTCATCTTTGCAACGTCTCTCCAATACTTCCCTTTCTCTCCTCCGACACTACCACCACTCTAGCGGAGGTCTTCATCTCCTCAAGCCTGGACTGTTTAAATAAACTGCTGACAGGTTTGCCTGCCTCGAATTTCCCTCCACTCCAATCCACCCTCCATTCAGGTACTCAGGTGATTTTCTGAAAGCTCAAGTTCGATCCTGTTACTCATTACACTCCCCCTCCTACCCCTGACACACACACACCGCCCCCCACCCCCGGCGACACAAGTCCTCCTCCCTCCGCCCCTCCTTCCCCTCCACGCACACATACACATTCAGTAAAAACCAGTGCTTCCAGGAGCAAAACCAAAACGCTCAATTTGGCTTTCAAAGACCTTCATAACCTAGTCACCTCCTGCCTTTCCACTCTTCTTACACCTTACTCCCCACCATGTAATCTTCATTCCAGTGACTTTTGCCTCCTGGCTGTTCCAAGAATAAGACACTCCATGCATCCCCGCTCCAAGCATTTTCTCTGGCCGTTGTCCCCATGCCTGGAACTCTATCTTTCTTCGGCTCTGACCACTGACATCCCTGGTTTCCTTCAAGTCCCAGTTAAACTCCCACCTTCTATAGAAAGCCTTCCCCAACCCCTCTTAATTTTAGTGCCTTCCCTCTGTTAATTATTTCCTGTTTTCCAGTATATAACTTGTTTGTACGTATTTGTTTGCATGTTATCTCTCCCACTAGACTATGAGCTCCTTGAGAATAAAGATTATCTTTTGCCTCTTTTTGACTCCCCAGCACTTAGCACAGGGCCTGGCACATAGTAGGCACTTAATAAATGTTTATTGATTAATATGTATACTTTACCTCTTCTGTCCTTGAGGGCAGGAACTCCTTCATTGTTGTCCTTGCAAACCCACTGCCTGAAATGTCTTTAATAAATACAGATCGATTGGTTGCACTGCTCTCCAAATAAAATGCTCTTCCCACTTCCCACAGCTCAGTTCAGCTAAGGGGGAGTGTATCCTTATCATTCAGGTTACTGGGAAACAAGAAAGCAGCAAGGTATGTTGTGAGGGCCCTGGTCTGGGAGTCCAGAAACCTTGTTTCTAGTCTATGCTCAGTGTGCTAGCAACATGTTGTGTGTCTACTCTGTGCCTCCTTCCTGGAACCTCAGGCAACCCCTGGGTTTGAGGAGGGAGACAGAGCCCTTGCTCTCAGGGATCCCTAGTCTGGAAGTTCTTAGCTTTTGTGTGTGTATGTGTGTGTGTCATGGACCTTTGGCAGTCTAATGAATCCTATAGACTCCTCAGGATCATATTTTTAAATTCATAAAATCAAACATATAAGATTACAAAGGAAATTAGTTATATGGAAATTCAGTAAACACAATTAAAAAAAAAAAAGACCCAACAACTTCACAAAATTCCTTATACTGAGACACAGTTCCTGTCCTCAGGGAGCCCAAGGTATTACTGAGGGATAAGGGACACACAGGCAAGACAAAGTAGTCAGGCCCAAGAACTCTCATAAAAACCAAATATCAACCAACACAAATAAATTCAGGACCAACAGAGTCCATTAACACCGAAGGAATGTGGAGAGATAAGAGTAAGCTGGTTTAATCAAAGTCGAAGAAGGGAGTGTGGTCAAGGATTAGGAGAAGAGGAGGAGAGAAAGGGCCTGGGAAAAGCTCCCATTTTTACATCAATTTATGGTTTGCAAAACCTCTTTCCTCACAATATCCCACAGGAAGGCATTTTCCTCCTTTTGCAGAAGGGTATGTTGAGGCTAAGAGACTGAGAGACTTAGGATCATAGATTGATTTACAGCCGGTAGGGACAACTCCCTTTTTGCAGATGAAAAAAAATGGCGTCCAGAGAAGTTGCTCAGGGTCACACAGCTAGTAAATGCCCAAAGTGAAATTCAAACCCAAGTTTTCCTGACTCCAGGTTCAATGCTCTATCCAGTATGATACGCTGCCATGATCTCACAGCTAGTGAGTGGAGGAGCTGGAGGCCCTGACTGGCCCTCCATTCTAGTTCACTACACTCCCCTAGCCAGTTGTGGAACTGTCCCAGTCTCCCCCTTCTCCAGCAACCTTTTCTCTCTCTGGGTTATGTCAGGTGCTGCCTTCTTCTCTAATCTTACTCCACATCATCTCCTGCCTGCAGGCCCCACTCCCACTGTGGAGCCTGGGTGTCTCTCAGCCTAGCTGAGACCTTGACTTGTCAGGACTGAGTTGGGAAGTGTTTCCCTTGAGGCCTGAATGTGGAAGATGAAGTGGCATCAACAGATGGTGCTGGGAGTTGAGCAGTGCCCAGACCCCTCCTAAAAACAGATGTGCCTGCTGTTAACAGCCAATAGTCCTGTTTCATCAGGACCCCCTGTGCCATGCTCCTACCACCGTTGGTAGGTCCGATTTCATCAGGACCC